ATGCTTCCAATAGAAAAAGAAAATTCAAGAGTTGCTACAACTAAACCATTAGATGAACTTTTTACTAATGTCGGTCAAAAGTTTGAGACAGAGACCGTAAAGCATGAAGGCTATCGTTTTGACTACCCATTAAGATGGCTAAGAGACCCATCTGTCACAAAAGCTATTGGCTTTCGTAGAATGAAGTTTGTATCTGTAGAAGATAAAAGTTTTCCATTTATTGTAAGGTTTCATATAGATTATATATCTGAAGGGAAACGAAAAATGTGGGAAGAAATTGAGCTAATACAAGTTGACCTTTCATCTTCTCTACAGACTGCGTTAAAAAATATAGAAGATAAAATAAATTCATGTTATGCAAAATATGCTGATGAATATGCAAATACCGAGAGCACACTTTATGTGAGAATTGTATATGACAAACAAAATTCACAAGTGTCATTTCAAATCTACGAAGACAATCCAAAGAAAGACGAACAAATATATACAGAATTCACTGCAATGTCATGGTATTATTTGCAAAGAATGTTAAATCAGAAAGTCGAACTTCCTTTAGCAAATATTTACAGTCGATATGCAAGAGATGAACCATATTTATTTAAAGATGTTTTCGACCCAGCTGCTATTATTGTTCATGCTTCATTTTCTGGCGCCCAAAACTCTTTTTTATGCTTGGCAAATGACTTTTACGAAAAACCTACAAAGTTATACGAACCACCAAGTGGAAGTATTTCAGACTTTCAAGTATGGTTTACTACAGATGGAAGAAAAAGAATAATTCCATTATACCATGCGTTTTACTTAGAACTTAGTTTCATATACAACTACTATCGAACGGTAAAAATATAATTTTTAATACGGTTGAGGTGTTGGATTTGGTTGCCAACTAGACTGTGGTGCAGGTTCAGGCTGTTGTATAACAGGAGCTTGTTCTTCTGGTTCAGGGTCTTTAGGTATAATACCAACAAACTGACCTACTCTTTTACCAATATTTTTGACTCCGTTCCAAATTCCTCTTCCTACGGTTTTTATTCCATTCCATATACCTCTTCCAACATTTCGAAAGAAGTTTCCTATCTTACTGAAGAAACCCATTTTACTATATGTAAAAATCTAATGTCCGCCTAGTCTCTTACGTTTCCTGTTGAGTTCCATAGCATTCTTTAACTGGAGCTCATACATTCTGTTTCTCCTCTGGTAGAAAAACATATTCTGGGTCAACTCCTGTGTTCGCGTCATCTGCATAAAGTTGTTTATATCCCACTTCAGGGTTTGTATAAAACTCTTTCCATCTCATATTTGCATACCATGGTGGCAAACCTAACGCAGCGTCATTTGACATGGCAGTTTGCATTTGTACATCTGTTGGCACTTGACCATAGTTTGCCATTGCAGTTTGTATTCTAACTTCATTTGGAATATTCTCTGGGTTTGGTTGTCCAGGTTGCTGTGCATTCGCTAAGTTCTGTGCGTCCATTTAATATTAGATAAAAATATCTCTTACGAGTACATATGCTGAACATTTGCTGGTATTGGTTCATCTTCATATTCTCTGTACCTTTCTGCCACGTCAAATAAGTAAATGACACAATGGAAAAAACCTAAAACAAGTAGTCCTATTTCAAACCACATTTACTTACAATAAAATTTCTTTGTTGTGACACTTTCTCCAGTTTATAGGACCTCTCTCATATTCTATCTTATCGTATCTAAACTCATAGTCATGTATGTCCTCTAACCATCTCATGACACTTTCCAAACCACTTTTATCGGATGTAAAGTAAAAGCATGGATGGTTATGTAAAACGTCTAAAGTTTCTAAAGAGTCTCTCAAAGTCCAGTCTACTTGGTATTGAAAATCCCATGTGTTATAGAACGGCGGGTCCACTATAAAGAAAACATTTTCCTTGTCTTTATATTTTTCATACAACTCTGTCCAATGACATCTCACAAACTCTATACCCTCAATATATTTTTCTATGTTCTCTTTGAAAACATTTGTATAGTTAAGATATAAAACTTTTGACATAAGTGTTTCAATGTCATGAACTCTTATAGCACCACTATATAATAGTCTAGCAGATATACTATCCCAGTCAATATACTCTGCCTTTTTCAAAACCTCTCTGACAGTATTTTTCTTATCTAATGGTATACGTTCCATCTTACCTATAGGTATCTTTCTTTTAACTCTTTCAATATTTGTTTGTGTCTGGTATATGTTTGAGACGGTTCATATAGTTGTCGAAGTCATTGCATATAATCTTTGAGTCAGGAAATATTGTATGGCACAAATGAGATATATAGAAACTTCCACCGAACAAGTCTACAAATGTTAGACCATTCGGTAGTTTCTTAAGTTCTCTCAATAGAATATCTTTACATCTACTCTTATTTCCAAAGAAGGGTAACGGTGGTTTTGTAAAATTCATTTTATATACAATAAAAATGTTTTTTCCTGAAAAGTGACAGAAAAGTGACAAAACATGTACGAAGAAGTCTTGAAAATTCAAGAGGGTAGAAAAGAGGTTAGAAAAGAGGTTATATCTAACCTTCTACCCTAAACATTATTTTTGTCTGATTTTACGAAGAAGTCTTGACAAAACATGAAAACATATATAATTTGTGAAAAGCTCCTGGAAGACCCGTATATAAGAACTTCATTTATACTAAACATCTTCAGGGCTAGAAGGCACGAAGTGCCTGGAAGCCCCATTCCTTTTTTTTTTTTTTTTTTTTTTTTTTCACAACCCATCCTATCCTACTACTATTACAATATTTGATGAAGGTTTCATTTCAATACGATGAAATACCAAAACTCATCACATTAAAGTAAGGATGTCAATTCGGAAAATTGTTTTCATTTTAGGAGAATATAATTTTCCTTTTGGAAAATTTAAAAAGTGAGACGCGCAGGATTCGAACTTTTTTAAAAGTTGATTTAAATATATTCTAGTGTGGATTCTAAGGATAATATCATATTTAAAATAAGAATATACTAGTTTAGGTGGTATAATTTTTTTCGATAAATTTGAGAGTATGTACGTTTAGGGCATCAAAAGTGTCAATTCGCTCAGCGAAAGCTGAGCTAGCTTTGTTCTCGAAAGAATAGGGAAGGAGTGAAAGAGAGTGATACAGATGTTGACACATTCATATCATTTCAACAAATTTTGATCAAATTGAAATTCAATGAAATTCAATTCACTTCATATCCTTCAGTCAGTACATTGACATCCTTCTACATCACAATGATAACTCGTGCATCAATAGTTCTACAACTAACTCAGAAAAAACAAGATTTTTACTTCAGCTTACAGCTTTTAAAAAGTTTCGATGATAAAAATCACTCTACTCTTGTTTATCGATATGTTGTGATAGTAGGTAAACGTATTCTTATCGATATTAATAAAAATTTTTTACGAAAATCTGAACCAATTACAGAGTTATTCATAAAGTTTATGATAACTGTAATTACTTCATCTTTGTTAATATTTGAATAAACAATTTAATTTGCATAATTTTTTTTAGTTGAAAGACAGGAAACTTAGTTGAGTTTGTATTATTTTTATCGTTCAATTCATTGTATCAGTGAGTGATCCAGATATTTAAGATATTTACAAAAAATTTATTAATTTGATTAACAAATTTTAATCTAAATAGCAAAATTCTATTTGATAGCTGTAAGCAAATAATAATTTCTATTTCAACCAAAATCAATTATTTTCATCTAAACGTATAAAATTGTCAATTTTATGAGAATAAATTTAAAATCTCATGAAATATAAAGGAGAGTAATATTTTTCAATTTTCTTTTTTTCTTTCTCTCAAATATTTTCTATTGGGAATTTTCTTGTTATCAAAAAATAATTTTAATATTTGTTTATTTCATTACATACAATAAAATTTTAAAAACTCTATTCTTCACAAGAAAATTTTTTCCTTCATATGAAGAAACATTTTGTTCTCCATTTGATGCTGAGTCTAAATCTCGATTTTTGAATTTTCTTCTTTCCAAATTTCTTTTTTCCAAATTAGAAGTTTAATTCAAATTTTCAATAGTTTATATACCGTACCTTGAATAACCGGCGAACCATTCAATTGGTCATAGACCAATTTGAGATACCCTTTTCAGAGGAATCTAAAATGTTGTTTATATGGTTATTTATATATTATTTAATCATTTTCTTAAATAAAAATCATAAGTTCTCAATTTTTCTTCATAACGATTCTTATAAATTTTAATGTTTTTACTATGAGTGCTAAATATTATTAATTACTAAATGATTTTAAAAAGAATAAACATGTTTTTACTTTGTACGTTAACATACGTTAATATCACTTCGGCTATGGATAGAGGCCAACAGCGCCTTATTAATGAGAAAAACATTAGCCTCTTATCAATGAGATGGAAGTGTATTCGTGGATTACAATTGTGAATTCAGATACACTTCCATCTCAAAAAATGCAATCAAATTTGTATTGAATTGCATTTTTTGAATACATGCTATTGGCAGTTGGGTTTTTAGTGCATTTATATTATATTGGTACTAAGGCTTTGGAAAATTTACAAAATAAATTTAATATTTTTGTAAATTTATCGGTTCTTACGCTTTTGGAAGGAGGATGGTATTTTGGAGCATTTTATTATATATTGGTACTAAGGCTTTTGGAAATTTACAAAATAAATTTAATTTTGTAAATGTTATCGGTTCTTACGCTTTTGGAAGGAGGGATGTATTTTTGGAGCATTTTATATTACATTGGTACTAAGGCTTTTGGAAAATTTACAAAATAAATTATAATTTTGTAAATGTTATCGGTTCTTACGCTTTTGGAAGGAGGGATGGTAATTTTTGGAGCATTTATATTACATTGGTACTAAGGCTTTTGGAAAATTTACAAAATAAATTTAATATTTTGTAAATGTTATCGGTTCTTACGCTTCCTCTCTTCATCAAGATGCTTCCTCTCTTCATCAAGATGCTTCCTCTCTTCATCAGATGCTTCCTCTCTTCAACAAAGTGATTCCTCTCTTCTTCAAAGTACTTCCTCTCTTGATCAAGATGCTTCCTCACTCCATCATGCAGCTTCCTCTCTTCATCAAGATGCTTCCTCTCTTCATCAAAGTACTTCCTCTCTTGATCAAGATGCTTCCTCTCTTCTTCAAAGTGCTTCCTCTCTTCTTCAAGATGCTTCCTCTCTTCTTCAAAGTACTTCCTCTCTTGATCAAGGTGCTTCCTCTCTTCATCATGCAGCTTCCTCTCTTGATCAAGGTGCTTCCTCTCTTCATCATGCAGCTTCCTCTCTTCTTCAAGATGCTTCCTCTCTTCATCATGCAGCTTCCTCTCTTCTTAAAAGTACTTCCTCTCTTCATCAAGATGCTTCCTCTCTTCATCAAGATGTTCCTCTCTTCATCATGCAGCTTCCTCTCTTCTTCAAAGTGCTTCCTCTCTTCAACAAAGTGATTCCTCTCTTCTTCAAAGTGCTTCCTCTCTTCTTCAAAGTGCTTCCTCTCTTCTTCAAAGTACTTCCTCTCTTCTTCAAAGTACTTCCTCTCTTGATCAAGGTGCTTCCTCTCTTCTTCAAAGTACTTCCTCTCTTGATCAAGATGCTTCCTCTCTTTATCAAGTGCTTCCTCTCTTCATCAAGATGCTTCCTCTCTTCATCATGCAGCTTCCTCTCTTCTTCAAAGTGCTTCCTCTCTTCAACAAAGTGATTCCTCTCTTCTTCAAAGTGCTTCCTCTCTTCTTCAAAGTACTTCCTCTCTTCTTCAAAGTATTCCTCTCTTGATCAAGATACAGCTTCCTCTCTTGATCAAGGTGCTTCCTCTCTTCTTCAAAGTACTCTCCTCTCTTGATCAAGATGCTTCCTCTCTTTATCAATGCTTCCTCTCTTCATCAAGATGCTTCCTCTCTTCATCATGCAGCTTCCTCTCTTCTTCAAAGTGCTTCCTCTCTTCAACAAAGTGATTCCTCTCTTCTTCAAAGTACTTCCTCTCTTCATCATGCAGCTTCCTCTCTTCTTCAAAGTGCTTCCTCTCTTCAACAAAGTGCTTCCTCTCTTCTTCAAAGTGCTTCCTCTCTTCATCAAGATGCTTCCTCTCTTCTTCAAAGTACTTCCTCTCTTGATCAAGATGCTTCCTCTCTTTATCAAGGTGCTTCCTCTCTTCATCAAGATGCTTCCTCTCTTCATCATGCAGCTTCCTCTCTTCTTCAAAGTGCTTCCTCTCTTCAACAAAGTGCTTCCTCTCTTCTTCAAAGTACTTCCTCTCTTGATCAAGGTGCTTCCTCTCTTCATCAAGATGCTTCCTCTCTTCATCAATTCCTCTTCACCCTGGAGCTCCTCAGCTTTATATCATTTTAATTGGATTTTTTGAAATCCACCTGCAGTAGGATAAAGGAGATGTAACTCACGACTAAGAACCTGCCATATGCGCCATTCAGGCCAAAACAGATTGCATAGCCACAAACAGATTGAAATACCAATCCTGTTGCTGCATGGGCGTCCATATTCCATTTGGAAGACTTGCATCATCACATTTGGATCTGTAAGGACTTTGTCGTTGACAAAATTGGGCCTTGCAGGAGGAACTCCATTTGCTACAATGTATCTGGAAGCAAGAGGTTTGTTCATATCCAATGGATAGATTACTGTTGCTTTAAAAGCATTTTCGATGTTTGTAGCTGTGCAAGACACACTACATGCATCAAGGAAGCTGCGAACCATGATATAGCGCAGTTCTCTGGCGTTCCATACATAATTGATCACCATATGCCCTTGCTGATCGTACCGGATAGTCGCCATATCAAACAACTTCTTGAATTGGGCCTTCAAGGGAGAAAAAATCCCAACATCAAGAGGTTGTAAGATATGAGATGTATGGCCTGGGAGAACAAGAAGCTCGATATTGAAGGCGCTCAAGAGGCGAACGGCCAAGAAAGAGAGCCTGGATGGATGACCATCTACAATTAGGAGAAAAGGTACCTGGGCATCAAACACATTCATTTGAGACCTTTTCTCCTGTACTTTGCAGATGAACATGATACAGTATACCATAAAAAGGTATTTGTTCATCCATCCACTCTCGGAGCGAACAAAAAAAGCGTCCAGATCTTCCAATTCCGCATCAAGGGTCTTCTTTTGTGGAAGTATCACCATTGGCTTCATAGTTGTACCATCTGCAAAGATGGTACAGACCCCTGTAAGATGTGGAAGCTGAGACTTTTCAGCGCGAACTGGGCGATTCCGGCCAGCAGTAAGAACTTTATAGCGACGTTTGGAATAGAGCATTGTCTCGTCCATATTCGCAATAAATTTCTTCCTGCGGGCAAAGTATCTATGCTTGGAGAGGAAAAATTGGCGAATATGTTTTGCGTCACAGGTAGAGCGTCGGAGCATATCAATAGTTTGGGAGCTCACAATCCGAATTGACAATCTTGTGGCGATATGATTAAGCCAGCCACGGGATGGCGATGGGCAGTAATCATCGAGCTTCGCTAGAAGATGCGGGCATCTTGCAGCGATTAGTACCCGCGCCGCAAATTTTAATCTCCTATTTTGTAATTCCGTACAGACAGCAATGGCCATTGATGTTGTAATACAGTTCAAGTCGTCTGCCATCTCTTGAACAAGTTTTTTGAACTGCATTTCATCTGGTAGTGACAAAAGGGTCATACCACCCCCTGACTGACCTTTTGTCCATGAACGACAAGTAGCAGTGCGCATGATTGCGCGTGCTACTGTCGTCTTTGAAATTGAGTAAACATTCCGTATTTGTTGATAAGACTCGCCATTTACTCTTCGATAGAGTAAATCGAGTTGCATCTGGGTCAATAGCCCAAGATTTTTATAGTTTTCTAATTCTGCAAACTCGGGAATTCGTGTTCTTGGTTGCATTTTTTTTAAACGGGAACTTCACAAATTTGGTTCATGGCCATAAAAACTCATTCAATTTTTCTGAGATTTTTTTTTCGTCACTCACTCAAAACGCAGAGGACCATTCTTCTCAAAATTGAATTATTTTCTCAAATATTGAGTGAGTAAAATGGGCACGTTGTGTAAATTGATTCAAAATTTTTTATTGGTACACGACCTTTGAAATTGGTCTCGGGCTATTCAACCTACGGTATTTTCTCAAACCGTCTTAGATTTTCTCACTTTTTAGGGATTTTCTCGCAAAATATACAAAAATAGTAATCCTGTTGCATGCTAAGTAGTGTCAATGTGTAAACCTCTCAATTTTATCGTCGGGGAAGCAACACAATTCCCTCAAAAATATTGAAAAAATATAGAAAATAAAATGAATTAAGATGTACTTAAAATGAGAAATAGATTATGATATTAGATTTTAGAAAAAACAGACTTTTGATATAACTTTTGAGAATCTCATATAAAAAAAAGCATTTAAAAATAAATTTAAATATCTTATTTATTTTACTATTGTAAATATATTCTGAGATTTTTAGAAAAAAACACTTTTCATAAGTATTCAATATTTGAGAATACGGTCCAAAAAAAATAGATTCTCTTATATTTGCTTATATAAAAGGAAACTCTCTATCAGATGCGAATGCATGAATTCAGCACCTCTGATAGAGAGTTTCCTCTTATATAAGCAAATCTTTTTCATGAGTTATTGTTAATATAAAAACATCAAAATCTACCAATATGAGAAATTAAACCCTGCGAGGCACCAGTCTAGAACTGGCACTTCGCAGGGTTTAATTTCTCTTGACAAATGACAAAACTTGTTCGCAATTGTGAACCATTGCGAGCAAGTTTGCCAGATATCTGGAAGGAATTGCTCCTTATGATATATGCATTGTAACTGTATATATCATAAGAGCAATTCCTTCAATTAAACGCAAAAACTTTGGTGCAATCGTTGCTGATTGCACCAAAGTTTTCGAACTTTCCCGAGGGAATTGGAGGGTGAGAGATACATAGTCTATCTATGTACCTCCCACCCTCCAAATCCCACTCTAAATGGGAGAAACTTTGTTCGCATGTTATCTTATTCAAACAAAGTTTCTTCCATTTAGAGAAGGAATAGGAGCCTACCAGGCACTGATATATAATCAGTGCTTTGTAGGCTCCTATTCCTAATAAAAATTTGAAAAGTTTGGAGCATTTGATTATTGTATTTTGTCAAGAGAAATTCAACCCTGCGAAGTGCCAGTTCTAGACTGGTGCCTCGCAGGGTTTAATTTCTCATATTGGTAGATTTTGATGTTTTTATATTAACAATAACTCATGAAAAAGATTTGCTTATATAAGAGGAAACTCTCTATCAGAGGTGCTGAATTCATGCATTCGCATCTGATAGAGAGTCTCCTTTTATATAAGCGAATATAAAAGAATCTATTCTTTTTTGGAGCGTATTTTCAAATATTGAATACTTATGAAAAGTGTTTTTCTTAAAAATTTAATATAATGCTTAGCACAATATATAAAATTAAAATATCTATAATTATTTTCTATATCACACTTTTCATTACACCTTGAAAAGTCTTCTCAAACTCTATTTTTAATTATTTTTTAGATATATCTCAAGTGTGATTATTCAAAAACTCATATAGACTATATTTATTTTTTTCATTCAAAAAATTATATGAGAATCTCAAATTAACTTTCAAATTTTTTATTTTAAAAACATATTAATAATCATATTTTAAGATACTTTTTCGCCCAAAAAATAATCGTACTTCCTCGACGATTAATAGGATCTCAATTTCTATCGTTGACACTACTTAGCATGCAACAATACCAATACATGTGTCTAATATACTTTAAAACCATCGTGATAAAATTCAAAAACGAAGAGTTCTTCTCTCCAAATATAGATCCGTATTTTTCCCAAGTGAGCGGGGTATCTCCAATCCCAGCCCTATCGTCCTCCTAGTGTCAGTTTTCAATATAAAATCCAAATTTTTTTTGAAAATAAAAATTTCGAGAAATTTTTCTGATTTTTTTTCGGGGTATTATTATTGTCGTCTGGCGGTTTTAGACGACAATGCGAATTTTCAAATAATAGGATTTTTAGCCAGATAAAGAGCTACTCCATATATCATGCGTGTTTGCATACTATATACATAGATGGAATTGATGTTCTTCCTTTATTTAGGTACCGAAACATGCTTGAAAAATCTATTTTTTAGACGACAATGATAATTTTGTCACTTTTCCAGACGACAATAATAATTTGTCACCTTTTTAGACGACAATAATAATTTTGTCACTTTTTCCAGACGACAATAAAACATCCTCTTTTTTTTCTTTGATTTCAATAATTCAAAATAAATTTGGGAGTAAAAAGACACTATTTAATGAAATTCATATGAGTGAATGTGGATAAATACTCTCAAAACATACAATTTATCTATTTTTTCTTTATATTATCAACTAATTAGTGATAATTTTTTTTGAATCAGATTTTTTTTTCATTAAAAACATAATATATAACACAACAATGATGCACACATACGTATCTACACATCAAAATATAAAGCTTGTTTTGGTCTGGGCATCCCAACCCAAAATTCTTAAAAAATTGAATAAAATTGAATACTTGGGGCTGGGATACCCATCCCAAAACCGAATTGAATTTTTTGAAAAAAAATATATTTATGTATTTATAATATACATGTGATGTCTATAAAAAATACTAAATTCTAAAAAAAAATTCAATTTATTCAAAACGTATACTAAGTGATCACTTCATTAGTAGGATCAGCAATCCTACTAAATGGTGAGAACGCCACTAACTAAAAAGGGAGTCCTTGGAGCTCTTGATCTCTTGTCAGTAGAGTTCATAATGAGGCATGGCATCTACTTAGAGATCAGAGCAATCCTACCTTACCTTCAGGAGCTACAAAGCTCCTAATCGTTACGAGAGGGAGCCTTGGAGCTCCTGAAGCTCATCAGCAGAGGCTATTTACCATTTGGGCCTCTTCTGATGAAAGATGCGAAACACGTCTACGAACCAGGAGCTTCAAAGCTTCTAATCCTTACTAAAGGGAGCTTTGGAGCTCCTGAGTCTCCATCAACAGAGTCCCAGATGGTAAATGTCCTTTTCTGATGAAAGATGCGAAACACATCTCCGAACCAGGAGCTCCAAAGCTCCTAATCCTTACGAAAGGGAGCTTTGGAGCTCCTGAAACTCCTTTTACTATAAAATAGGACAGTTTTCTTCTGAGGTTCTCATCAAATCTAAGACTTCAGAAGAAAGCTGTCCTATCAATGTATACTTACACTCTCATGGACTACAAGTGTACAATTTTAAGGCAGAGATTATCGAGGCCTCTCATCAAATGAGGGACCTCGGATAATCTCTACCTTAAGTAGTCAAATAACTTTTCTCACTATTTAGGAACAAAAGAACAAGAGTTGGAGTACTTTAAGCAAGATTCTTCCGAAATCTCTCATCGAATGAGAGACTTCGGAAGGACCTTGCCAAATCCTTGAACGCCAATATCCTTGGAACTGAGCTAGAACCAGGGAGAAGTAGCATACTATAGAGCACGATGGTAATCTCGGAAATGCTTATATCGCCCCAAGCACAATATTTAAGAAGTCTAACTCATATATACAAGAAGTCAGGCTGAATAGATATTGTGCATATGGTTTGCAGAACTCTCATGATATTGAAAATTCATGTTATCCCAAAAAGGTGACACTTTGGGTGTATCGTCCATCCCAGGGATGCAAAAATCACATCACCTTGGATCTATATCTCCAAATTTTTTTCAAAATCAAAAAAATGAGATAAAAAAATACGTTTGGAAAATTCATTTTTAGCATTTTAGGAATTTTCTCACTTTTCTTCCAAATTGACATCCTTAATTAAAGCTTTCATAAAAGATCATATCATCTATTAATTGCACATTTAACTTAATTAGATAAAAGCTGCACGATATTTCATCAAAAAAATGAAAAGCAATCATTAATAATTGTAGTAGCAGGTAACTGTGCCTTTGGGTAATTTAATTTGGCTTATTAAATTGAACTATATGCAAAAAAATATAATTAAGATATCTAAGAAACATTTTAGAATGATTTTTTGCATAAATAATGAATATTTATTTAATATGGAATCTAGTCAATGTTAAAAAGTTTTTCAAAAAAAATGCAGTTCTTGTGAAAATGATATTTTATTTGTTAAATTTGCTATTGAAAAAATATTTTTCAATTTTATTTGGAGTTTTCAAGATTCTTTCATTGCGTGGATTCATACAAATTTTCTATTTAGATTTGTGAGACAGCAATATTTGTTATTCAGCTAAAATATTTAAGCTCAAATTGAGAATAATAATGCATAAACTATACCATTTCATAAACGCAAAGTTTAAAATTTGCATAGATACTATGGAAACTAGTTTTATTCGTAGTTTTTGTAAACCCATGATGCATCCACAGGTTCAGGGTAGCCAGAAATTGAGAGAGCATCGGTAAATTGCCACATAGTCTTTGGACCTGTGTATTTGCAGTATGAATTGTACTCGGCAAGCCAAACGTCAATTCCCGCTTCATTTATTCGATCCATGTTGCAATAATTATTTGCCCATACCAAATTGAGGTATAGCATTGGTTTGAAACCAGCAGCCTTTACTTTATTGCAAAAAGCAATTACCATATCTGCAACAAGTTCCTTTCCAACATTCATTGCAGCATCTTCTACGCCATATGCTACAGGGAATTTAATGTAGTCTTTATATGGGCTGATTACTGAAATTGCGAAATCTGCTTCTCTCTCTGCTTGTTCAACAGAACGTGCGTAACCATAATGATATGTTCCTATTAGCATATTTGATGCAATTGCATTTCTCATATGATTTTCGAACATTGTATCAATCTGTTTCGGATCATATGATCCGTAACTGGAGCGAATCATAACACCTTGAATTTGGCTGTTATCTTTGGCAGCCTGAAAATCAATTTCGTTTTGCCATTTGCTAACATCGATTATCTTGAATGGAAGATCAGGCATTTTATTACAATTACAAACAACGTAAAGTATTCAATTTTGATTTCAGTTTAATTACATCGTTTTATCGTTTTCCAATCATTCGAGATATATTGGAAGGGCGAATGTCTATTTCGAAAAAAATAATCGTCTTTCGGTCTATTTCGAAAATAATCGTTCCGATCACGACGATAGACATTAAAATGCATAATTCTCCACCATAGAGTTATTTTAGATCCTTGATCTTTTAGGCTCTACTAAAGCATACTATTTGTAATCTATTTATATAACAAAAATACTATATTATCCTTTTTTATGAGATTAATTAGAAGATTGCAAGACAAATTATGATATTTCTCACTATTTTCGCATATAAGGAGGTAGCCTAATACTAATACTAACGTTTTGTAACTGTGCTATTGTGTTAATACATAAAAAGTATTATGTTTATTTAATTCTAAAAAAAAATATTGTGTTTATAAGGTAACAATATATTATTTGTGCTATCATATATGAGGATATAACAATAACACTATTATTTAGCCCAAATATATTGAATTTCATATAAAAAAAATTATTAATTATTATTGCTGTTTGTAACGAGACCTTTAATAAATGCATAGTTTAGAGTGATGATTTACAATAATAAAATGTGATAATTCTCTTAATTTTTTTATTAATATGAAATATTTAGCATATCATTAATATAATGGATGATATGAATTGGACTAAGGAAATCTATATCTATTCAATGATTAAAATTCGATATAAATAGATATAAATCACAATTGCAAAAATAGATTATGATATTAGGCAAATAGCTGCAGTACATCATTTAAATAGTAATGTTTGTGAAGGTGAATATGCACAATTTGTGAAAAAACAGCTTTTTCTCTCATATTTCAAAAAAATATCAATAAATCGATTATTAAACGGAATGCTTCATCAGTAATGATTGTTTTACATTATAATTTAACAATTTTGGCCAATCATTCATCTAAATTTGTCAAGAATTTAAAATTCGAATAAAGTTGTTGATTTTATAAGAGACATATATGAGAATTTATCTTTAAAATTAATCACTCGCTATGAAACATAAGTGATTTATCTTAAAAGGTCATATTTATCAAAATTGATTACAAATTTTTGAGAAAAATCATAATTTTTCACATAAATAGCATTATTTGCAAATATAAAACTTGATCTACTTTCTCAAAAATTCCAAAATAATTTTAAATTTATGATTTTCATATATTTTTTAACAATTTTTGGATTTATTTTTTATTTTTTGAAAAAATTTTGGAAATTTCATATCATTAAATCACGTTTTTAGTATTTCAAAAGTTATTTTTACGTTATGTCGTAATGAATTTACCTATTTTTAAGTGAAAATATAAAATAATGTCAATTTCTTTAAAATAATGAGGAACTAGCAAGAATGATCAATATCACTCTTTCATATATCATCAATTGCTACTTGTTCTTTTCATTTATAGTTAATGAATATGGCTGAGTAGGGGTAATTTTAGCTAAAAGTGACACACCTGTCAAAAGTGACACACCCGTGAAGGGTGTGATTACCGATCGGTAATTTCGACAGTTTAGAATTTAAAATTTTTTATGGAACTGTTGCGAGTTTCATAAAGAATTTAAGGAATATAAGCAAAGATTTGAATCAAAATCTTAGACCTAAGCCGCTCGATTCGCTCGCGGCTTCCGCGAATTACCGATCAGCAAAGATTTGAATCAAAATCTTCGAACTAAGCCGATCGCTTCGCTCGCGGCTTTCTTTATTATTTTAAATTTGCATATTTCCATCAAAAGTTCATAAGGTAAAAAATTTCGTTTATTTTTACTAAGAAAAAAAAGGTTTTTGATAATAAATTTATTTTATTTCGAAAAAGTAGCAATAATCGTAAAAGGGTATTGATAGGCTTGCTAAAGTAACTAATTTTAGCTGTCAAATACTTTTGTATTTTGAAGTAAATTAGTATAAATTTGTTTTTACTTTTATTTCGAAAAGTAGCAATAATCGTAAAAGGGTATTGATAGGCTTGCTAAAGTAACTAATTTTAGCTGTCAAATACTTTTGTATTTTGAAGTAAATTAGTATAAATTTGTTTTTACTTTTATTTCGAAAAAGTAGCAATAATCGTAAAAGGGTATTGATAGGCTTGCTAAAGTAACTAATTTTAGCTGTCAAATACTTTTGTATTTTGAAGTAAATTAGTATAAATTTGATATTATTTTAACTCCCTTTGAAAACCTCAATTTTCCATACAGAGGGAACGGGAATAGCATCCAATATTCCCTGAGAATGGTTGCGCATTCTCAGTTCCCTCTATATTTCGAACGAAGCTCTCATCGGTCTTTTTTTTAATACTAAACGTTTTTTCCCCTGTCACTTTTAGCTAAAATTTGGGTTTGCCGAATATGGCTGAATGCTGATAACGTATTCATTGACTATTAAAGGTGAGAGCGGGAACATCAATGCTGATTCGGAACGGATTACATTGACGAACGCATCTCTATTTAATCATTCAAAATTCAAATTTCTCGATTATTATTACAAGTTCTCACAAATTAAGCAAATTATACATCATTTCATCAACAATACAATTGCAATCTACATTCAATTCGAAACTCAAACGAAATTATCCACTATTACAATATTTTGATTCATAAATTAACGAAAGTGAAATCTTTTATAAATTTCGAATAACTAAACAACGTATAACTCAAATATACAACCAATAAATGAATCTCAAACTTATTTACAGATTCAAAATATCTTTTTAAAATATTCTCATTATCAGCTACCTTTATGCCCACATTGTACTACAGATATATTTTCCCAAGCAACTACTTTAAAAAATTCGATTTTCAGAAATTTTACATTCTATTTTTGTTAAAATCGTTCTTATACTAGTAACACGGATCACCGCTACGATAAACAAAAATAGTGTTATTACTTTCTTACTTATTATGACTAAAAATTTACTTTTATTATTATTTTGTGCTTTTTTTTTTCATATATTCACTTCAGCATACTTATTTATCATAATCCTAGAAAGATTACAGGGTCATTATCCCATAAACACTTCTTTTCCATGATTAATTTAATGAAAACTCACAAATTGCCATTTTATAGGTTTTTTCAATATAAAATTATGATATATAGAATATGTTTAGTAAGTCTTCAAACAATCATCAGTACATATCATATATAATGAAATTATGATTTTATATAAGAACTTGAACACTTCCTTTACTATGTATTTGTCTCGGCCTAGATGAGTTCTGATCTATGCATATATTCATTCATTTCAAAATGCAGATTTTAATAATTTCGCCCCCTATCGTCGTGATCGGAATGATTATTTTCGAAATAGACCGAAAGACGATTATTTTTTTCGAAATAGACATTCTCCCTATATTGGAACATCGAAAAATATTAGGAAAATTCTTCAACCACTAGATTTTTGCTGAGCAAACTTTTGACATTAGAACACATGTTATTGCATTAAACTTTTTACTGATAATTTTAACTTGATGATTTGTTTATTATATTTTCCGCATCACAATACAATTCTTTTCAATTTTTCAATGAAACCGGCATTAAATTGAAAATGGAAAAAATATGTATTTTTTTGTATGTCCATCCGATCACTCGGTCATGAGAATACGGCCAACTTATACTTGATCTCTATCCTTGCTATATATGATGCTAATTCATAATAAAATTAGAACCTTATTTTGGGTAAAAGATTTTGAACTGTCAGGAAATATTTTTTATTTTTTTGGCTTGCCAAGATGAAGATTGTTGTTATTGGTGAAACACAAGTTGGCAAGACATGCTTATTGCGCAGATTATATGCTAATGCTTTTACAAATAATATTCCTCAAACAATTGGCGCAGCATTTCAAAATTATGTCATTCAAACGCAAAAAGGAAAAGTAGAATTACAGCTGTGGGATACAGCTGGGCAAGAAAAGTTTCGCTCATTAACACCAATGTACTATAGATTGGCAGCTTTCGCTGTAATTTGCTTTGATCTAACAAACAAGCCAAGCTTTGAAGCTTTAGAGAGTTGGTATACAGATATTATTGAAAAAGGACCTCCCAGAATACAATTCGTCATTGTAGGGACTAAAAAAGATTGTCAGGAGGATAGGGTCATCTCATTTGAAGAGGCAATGAACTTTGCCGAATCTCATGGAACAGCGTTTTATATAGAAACATCAGCAAAGACAGGAGAAAACGTTCGCGAACTATTTTTACGGATTGCCCAATTATATGAGAGCAAGCCAGAAAATGTAGAAGTATACCCAGATGATTCTCCTAAAGAGAAAGATGGTAGTAAGTCGAAATGTTGTTAATATTCAAAATTATATTTCAATAATATTTTTTTTACAAATATCTCGTTTGGCTTTGTAATATGTTTGTACTAATACTAAAACGCGCTTTTTTAAATCATAGTTCAGACTTTTTAAAAGTGTGATTCAACAAATACTCCATCGAATCAAATGCCTTTAAAACTTTCTGTCATTTTTAAAGGAATTAGTTAAGAAATCACGAACCGGGTTTAAACATTCTACTCTTATCGAAAATCAAGATATGAAATCATGATTTGGTAAATTGGCGTTTGAAAAACAGATATCTATCAACTACTTGGATGATATGAATGAACAAATCATGTGAAGTCTACTAATTTGAGGCAATTTATATTCGCTCAAATTAATTACAACATTTCAAGATTCCGAACATCGCAGATCAATATACATCACATGATTGTAAGCCGAAACTTCGATCAGATTTGTTTTCAGCGATAAAACAAGGAAGTTTCATTCAGAAAAATGAATAAAACGCCATGTAAAAGAAGATTTACAAATGAATTATAGCACATTAGTACTATCTTCTTCCGATGATATCACTAAATGGTCGAATTGATCGTGTAAAACAATTTCGACGATGGAGATTGAAATAAAAAACGATGAACGACGATAAAAACCACTTCAAAAAGAATAACCCAAGTAGGTAATAATAAGAACCTCTTATCATACACAAAAATGACATCAAACCATTTTTTTTGTCAATTCACTACGATAAGAAATTTTTGGCACATCACTTTTAGATGGCTGTTCCAACTCGCCATATCCTCACAGCTACATCCTTCTCTGCTGAAGAGTTCCAGAAGACACTCGACCTTGCTATTGATATCAAGGCCAACCCACAGAAGTACGCCGGTGCTATGAATCAGAAGACACTTCTTATGCTCTTCCAGAAGCCATCCCTTCGTACACGTGTTTCCTTCGAAACAGGTATGACAAAGATGGGCGGCCACGCTATTTTCTACTCTGTTGCCGATTCTCCACTCGGTGCTAAGGAAACAATCGCTGATACAGCCCACGTTCTTGAGCGCATGGTCGATGTTGTCATGGCTCGTCTCAACAAGCGTGCTGATATCCGCGAACTCGCTGCTAACTCTAAGATCCCAATCATCAACGCTCTTGATGACTTTGCTCACCCATGCCAAATGATCGCTGACTTCCAGACAATCCTCGAGAAGCGTGGCACACTCAAGGGCACAGTCCTCTCATACTTCGGTGATGTTGCTAACAACGTTACATACGATCTCATGAGAACATGCGCTCTCTTCGGCCTCGAATGCCACGTTTGCGGCCCAGCTGATACACACTACGCCATCGAGAAGGAAGTTATCGATGAATGCGAGGAACTCAACAAGAAGACAGGCGGCAAACTCCTCATCACACACGATGTTGCCGAAGCTTGCAAGGGCACAAACGTTGTCTACACAGACACAATCATTTCCTACCACATTCCAAAGGAGGAGCTCCCAGAGCGCCGCCGCGTTTTCAAGCCATTCCAGGTTACAAAGGAACTCATGGCCCAGTGCGAGAAGGACTGCATCTTCATGCACTGCCTCCCAGCTGCTCGTGGCGATGAAGTTACAGCCGAAGTTATCGATGGACCACAGTCCGTCATCTTCGACGAGGCTGAGAACCGTATGTGGGCTCAGATGGCTCTCCTCATCCACCTTATCTATGGCTTCAAGTAAAATTTTTTAATCTGATAGTTTTAATGAAAAAATCAATTCATTTTTTATCAAATTTGCAAAACTCACTTGAATCAGTCTCAGATCTTAGTTTCACATCAAACTATTCTAGCTTTATGAGAGATAGGTTTGAGTTTTAGTTGAGGGTTCAGATAGTAAAACCCATACCACAGGCATGTTCTGCACAATGACACTGATAAACATGCTATTTGGCATAATAATTCAATAAAATCCACGTGGGAATGACAAGGAAAATGATCATCAACAAAAGACGGATTATGACATGTCTTATGCAATAAATGCATAATGATCCTCAATTAGAATAGACTCGTTTAGTCGGATCAACAGTTTTGGTAATTGTTTTTATCCAAAAATGATGCAAAGTATAGTTTTGAAATAGAGTCTCCATTCATCAACACTTCAATGCCCTTAAATCATCAATGTAATAGTACGGATTGCAATAGAGATAATATATTGTCTGTTTTGCAATTTATTGTTTTATTTCATTGAACGTTTTTACAGATAATGATCGTCCAAATGAATATCTGATAAATGTACAGTACCCAAAGATAAAATCAGAGAGTAAAATGGACTATGGCTCGATGGCTCGAAATCTGTCGATGGATGGTCTCAATTTTTTAATTTTTTATTGAAAAAATTTAATTATACAGGTGACTTAAATTAAAAAATTTATATTCCAAAAACCATTTTTCTATCGTCAACGATAGATGTAAATTTTGAATAGAGAAATGGTCAGATAAAATTTATTTCTATTATGTTGAGAGGCATCAAAGCCGTATTCTTTGATATGGATGGAACGCTTCTTAATTCAAACCACATTCCAAAGCTAGTAGATAAAGTGTTCTTTAAAGCTCACAATATGGAAGTTCCACAAGATTTACCAAAAAAGCTTTATGGAATGAGTCTATTTCAATCATGCCAATTCTTCACAACATTAGGTGTTAAAGGTACTGCAGAAGAAATTCATAAACAATGAATGAGTGTCGCTATCAAAACTTATCTTGAAAAAGCAACACTAAAAAAGGGAGCAGATCGTCTCGTTAGATACTTAGATGACAAGGGATACAAAACCGCAATTGTTACTAGTAATGATCCACAAATAGCTGAGGCTTTATCAAAATCCAACAATATTCGCCATTTATTTGATGCAATTTGTTCCTCCAATGAAGTCGTTAAAGCCAAACCCGAACCAGATGTTTACCTCCATGCTGCTCGCAAACTAGGTGTACAACCAAAAGATTGTTTAACTTTTGAAGACACTGTCAGCGGCATAACATCTGGCAAGAAGGCTGGAATGAAAGTTTGCGCTATTTTTGATACAAACTCTGTTTCTTCTGATCCAACAAAGAAACAGCTTTCTGATTTTTATATCAATGACTTTGATGAAGTTCTTGATAACACATACGAAATTCTTCATCAAGTTGACACAGCACAGAAGTAATTTTGCGCTTTTTTTTTCATGATATATTTTCATTTATGAGAGAACTTTCTTTTTAATGATCATTCTTGTTTCAATTTTCTATCTATTGATAAAATTAACATTGTTTCACTTTGATTAATTAATTTCATTTTCCAAAATTCCATGAATTTCCAAACAAATTATCCGTAAAATATTATGCAAATAGGAAATTTATTATATTTACAATCAGTAATAGTCGAACTTAATCAATTTATCTGAAATTGCCATTAACTTTCTGCAATTTCCAGTGTATTTATATCGCTAACAGTTAGATCTCAACATAAACTTGTATTTGTTATATCAATGATTCATTTTTTTATAATGTTATCCAAAAAATTTTCGACTTTAGATTATTTTTATAACAGAAGCCATGGAATGCTACAACTTGTTTTAAAGTTCGATGATACATCTAAGATCGAAGAAACAATCGATAAATTGTCGAAAAATGTTTTGGCCTTTCATCTCAAAACTGATGAATATCACTTTTACAAGCAAAAATCAAATATCACTCCAGTGAAAATCATAGAAAGCGATAACTTACCTGATTTGGCCACTTACATGTACGAAAACCATTCTCCAGACTTTTCAAAAACGCTCGCTACTTTGGGATACAACTCAAATACACTAGTATTAAACATTGCGCACTTAGTTGCAGATGGAGGATATTTGCATCAAATTGTTGATTTGATTTTATCAGATAGCGACAAGTTAAATACAAAATTGGAATTCCCAGACAATATCGAAGAGAATTTTATAAACCAAATCAACTCAAAATACATAGATCAATGTAAATACATTTTCACAGATCCAGAAATCATCAGAATCAATGCTGACAAGCCCAAGAATCCAAGTAACAAATATGCGAAACACTGTTACATCAATACGCCGGTTGAAAATCTCAAATGTTTTTCGAAAAAATCGAAACGTGTTTCAGGATTAACAGAAGTTCTTTGGACATCTTACATTTTATCTGCATCAGCAATGAACAAAAAGATAAATAATACGGGAATTGCTACCTGTATTGATATGAGAAACTATTTTAACCAAATTAACAAAACAAACTCTTTATCTGTTTGCAATCATTATTCTAATATCACCCCATGCTCAAACATTTCACCGTCAATGACAGTTGGAGAACTTGGAAAGCAAATGAGAAAAGATTTTAATGATAAAATCAAGAAAGGACATCATTACTCATTCCTTAAGTCATTAGTTCCACCAGAAGCCAAAGCAATACCAGGAATCGGCTTAGAACTCTCAAATATTGGCAGATTCCAAATTAAATCTCCTCTCAAAGATTTATTCCTTAAATCTTCCGTTTTCGACCAATTTTGTGATCCTTTGATCTCACATTCCAGTTTTTCAGTTGATACTGGCGTTAAAAACACACTTCATGGAATGTTTCGTTTCAAACCAAGCGCAATCAAAGAAGAAACTGTTAGGGAGCTTGCTTCCAAAGTTAAGTTTTCTCTACAAAATATATCTAATGACATGACTGTTGCTGAATCGATTTCTTTGATTCAGAAATCAAATTGAATATTATGTTATAAACATATACTGTATATTACTAGTTTATTTCGTATTAGCTAAGTATTTTAATGTAATATGTCCACTTTCCCAATGTTATTTTCAATTTCATTTTTGAAATTTTAGAATGAAAGGAAATAAATCAGAAAATTATGCATGTAATATAAATGATTTCCAAATCCTTCAAGAAAATGGTGACACTATTGATCATTTTTTTAATGTCGATTGAAGCTCTGGAGAACATTAACGAAGAAGAGTTTTCAATGCGACAGTTATTTAAAATAAAGCCAACAGATAAATATATTATTGCTTGCATGTGCATATCTACTTTAATTGTTTGGACTCCATTAATATTTTCAAAAAAATCAGAAAATATTATGCTCTATAATGATGGACCACATTTATTACATATTTCGAACCATTTTTATTCATTTCCATCAGAAAAATTTCATTCAAATACAGCTATCAAATGCGATTCATATGTTAATTCAATTCCTATTGGTGCACCATTACTTCTCAGAGTTATAAAAACAATATTGTTCGGTTATTGGCTACCTTCATGCATGATTTTTATGTTAATCACGAATATAATTTGCGCAATTGTATTCGAACGATTCATTTCGTGATGGCAAATAGTTCGAGATCCAGTATTTACATCTTGCCTTTTATCAATTTTTCCGACATCGTTTTTCATTGACCATTCCACGTTTTCTACTTGTCCAATCTACATGACATTCGTATTTCTTGCATTTATTGGATATAAAAAACACAAAGTCAACTTAATATTCTACTCAGTTTTAGTATCTGCATTTTTTGATCGCCAATCCGGATCATTAATGCTATCTTTCTTTATAATATTCTTCCAAAATGGACATTACGCTTATGCATTCAAGACTTTGCTTGCATATTTGATTCCAATTGTAATTCAAAGCGGAATTCAATTTTTCAAGACTCAAACAACTTTTCTGTCATTCTTTATTAATAACAAAAGTATGGGAAAGCTTCCCTTCTCAAGTATGCTTTATAGCATTGCTCATATGAAAACCGAAGAATTTTATGCTCAATGGTACTACTTTGTCGCACTTTTAGTCGGTGCTTCGTTCTTATCAAGATATTCAATCTCATTATTGATATTTTCTTTAACATCTTTTGCAATTGATTCTTTCTTTTTATTTAAAGATTTGTGGAAGTATGCTTCAGCTTACCACGTGTTCACTATACTTCTTGGATTCGATATTATCATAAGCAATGAAAAATTTAAGAAAATTCGACTGATATTTATAATTTTGTATGGAATAATTTCCTTCATTTATGTATATAAGAGCATATCTGGTCGAGGATTCATGAATTCTCAGTTTTTATGGGATGAAATTAAGAAATGATTTTTTTTATCTTTATTAATCAAAAATTATCATATTATTGTTTGTTATTCTAAATATATTTAGTTTAATGTTAATATATTTTATAGTTTTCATCTCTAATACCTATTATTTAATTCTAAAAAACGAACTCAAAATCTCTGTAAAAAGTGCACGTTTAAAAATTCACTTCATGATTCCTGATGAAAAATCAGGAGTTAATGAGCCAATATCAACAAGTACATATGATAACATTGGCAGCAATAATACTAATGAAGATAGATGCCTTGATAAATCACAATTAGAGCAACAAATTCAAAATTTACAACTCGAGAATCATAAATTGAAAGAAATAAACGATAATTTTAACTTTAAAATAAATGTTGAATACCAAAGACTTGCAGAACAAACTGTATCGCGCGAAAAATACTATATTCAAGAATATGATAAAATGAAAAGTCAACTCAAGTCTGAAATTGAAGTATTACACACAGATATTGATAAATTCAAATCTTATATCGACAGAAAAGATTTGGATATGAAAAATAAGGATGTTCAAATTCAAAGAATTATTCAAGTTATTTCACGCCTTACTTCCAAAAATTTCGAAACAATAGAAGATACCTGCGATTACCTTGATACAAATCCTCAATTTTCACTTAATTCAAATATTGATTCAGTAAAAGACGAAAAAATCAAGAAATTGGACGTTAATACAGAACTCCAGCGGGAAAAAAGAAGGAGGAAAACTTCCGAAAAAGTTGTTTTGCAGCTACAAAATGAGATACTTTCTTTGAAGCAAATATCTAAAGAAAAAGAAGTATTGGAACAAAAATGCAGACAATTAAATGAAAAGATTTCTCAATTTGAGCATAATAACTCAATTGATATGATTGAACATCAATCAGAAATATCAACTTTATCTAAAAAGATTGAATTGCTTAACGAACAAAACAACTACTTAAAACAAAAGTTATTATCAAATCAAACAGAAATTTCCCATTTAGAGATTCCAAAACCACAAGAAATTACAATTCCCGAAGAAAAGATGTGTCATAGACATGAAGAACTAGCAGAAGTCAATAATGATTTAAGGAGAGAGATTAGATCACTTCGAAATCAGTTGAGCACACAAAAATCAAAAATTGAAGAGCAAACTATGGAAATTCAACAATTAAAATCAACAATTTCAGATCAAAAAGGAGAAATAATTTCAATTAAGACTAAATATAACGATCTATCATTACAAGCATCTAAAATAACTACTTTACAAGATCAAATTTCGAAATTGAAGCTAAAAAACTCTAGATTTAAAGAAGAAAACGCGAAGCTTAAGAAAGATCTAGCTGATGTAACTAATATAGTTGCAAAATTAAAGAATAATAGACAAGAAACAGAAAAACCTGATTCCTCAAAAATAATCAAGTTACAGGAAAGAATTCATAAGCTAGAAGCCGAACTCGATGATGCTAATAACAGACTTGAGATAGTTCAACATACAGATATTACACCAAATGATGTTTTGCCTCCAAATATATTTCATCCACAAAATTATGACAAAAAGTTAACAGAACAAATCGATCATATTGCATCTATTGAATGTGTTCAGCCTGCAAACAAAATACAACAGATATATGGTGTAATTTCAAGATATTACTCAGAGATTGCTGGAGCATTATCAGATGATAATTATGAGATTAAGAATCAACTTTTAAACCTCAAAGCAGATATTAAAGAGTTCATGAATACCATTTCGAGGGAATTGATAGGCTTTGAATATCCATACGAATATTGTAGGATAGAAGATACAAAAGATCTAGTAGATAGATTAATTCTTCTAAAATCTGATCAGGAAAAAAGCAAAAAATCATTTTATGATCTCAAATCAAAAATTGATTTCGTATGCTCAATTTTTGAATGCAATGAAGCAAACTTTAATACAAAAGTAAAAGAAATATCGGAACGAATCAAAAATTACGAAGATATTATTTCAATGCAACAACAGAAACTGAAAAAGGCAAAGAAAACCATCAAGATCATACATAATCTTAATGAACAAGAAAACAAACAAATATGTGACAAGATAAACAAAATGAATAACGAAAGAATTAATGCATATCAGAAATTAGCAAATATCGAATCAAAAAATAAAATGGTGTTAAGCAAAGTAGAAACAATTACGCGACAACTTGAAAGAAAAGAGATGGAAAATGAAAAATTAAAAATTCAGATTGAAAACCAAAAAATAGATAACCTTGATAAGATATGTTCAGAGTTTAAGAAAAAAGAAGTTGAAATCGCGCATTTGGTTCAAGATTTTGCAAAAAAGATAAATTTTGCAGAAGATCATCTTGTAAAGTGTGAATGCAAAGTTGCCCGGCTTCGGAAAACATGTGAAACACAAAAAGAAACTATTACAAGTTTGAGAAACGAATTAAAATCACTGGAAAATGAACAACACAGTGATAAAATAAAAATGCAAAATGCTGAACAAAAAGAAACAAAACTTATGTTAAAAATACAGGAACTGGAAGAATACAATGAATCGGAAAAGAAGGAAAGAGAAAGACTTTGGCAAGAGAATGAAATATATCAAAAAGAAATACGAAATTTCAGAAGTAACCTCAAATATATTTCCAATAGATTAAAGAATGCAGAACAGATAGTGAAAGTCAAAGATGATGAAATGACACGACAGATGATTTTAAATCAAGAGAAGTTAAAACTTGCATGCTCTAACCTTGAAAATAAACGAAATATCGAAATACTAAATATGAAGTCGGAGTTTGAACGAGAAAAGCAGAGAATATATGCATTTGCCGCAGCAAATCTCAAACAATTCTTTGATCCAAGAGATTCTATCAACTTTGAAACCTTTTGCAAATTAATTTTAGCTGTAAGCAAATTTACATATGCACAAGTTCATGGCTATGAAAATGCAAGTCCAATTGAATCATAATATCATTAATTTACCTTATTTTTTTTTATTTTCAACTGTGCTAAACGTTATTTTTTAAAAAGTTCGGTTATAATTCAAATCAAGATCTGAATTATCAATGCGATATACATAAACAAATCTAAATTTCAAAATCGATAATATATTTCTGAGTTTTCAACATTTTCTTTGTGAATAAAAAAATTAAGGCAAACCGCCAATATTCTCTGAATTCGCAACGTTTCCTTTGTATAATTTATTCAAGTTTACGATAAAAACTTAGATATATATCCCCAAACTACAACTTATTATTTATTTTTGAAATGAAATTTTTATAATAATAAATGCTTACCCTCCTATTGTTGGGGCATTTTCTTAGGAGAGGGTAAATTTGAATACCATTCAAAAGTAAAAATTCACAATTTGTTCGATTTGGACATATAATCTATTATTATATATAATGTAATTAAGAAAAAAATAAAATGACCTGCATATATTAATTATTTAGATTGCAAGATTCAAAAAAGCTATTAAAATTAGAGACTAAATAAATAGCGAATTGATTCATATGGATTTATGTAATTGTGAACATTAAAAGAGTTTATTTATTGATCTAATAAAAAAAGATAAAATATTAATGAGAAAATTGAAAGAATAGAGTGTCCCATTCACTCGTGTTGGTCGCAATGCATCATTCTGGGAGACATTGCCTCTGCATGTCTCCCACAATGGCACAATGTTCCTTGGAGAAAGACCTGGAAGGGGGTCCTTTCTCAAGGTCAGGGCCCCTTCTAGTCTTTCTGGTCCTGGAAGGAGCGCTTCTGACTGGTCTGTGCGCTGCTTCCAGGAAGATCAGGAGATTGCTCGAAGTTCGCGGCAAGTGCATTCCGACACCACAGATGCACTTGCCGCAACATATAATTGCGAGTGTCTGCTGCTTTGGTCAAAAGAAGCAGCAGACACTCGCAATGCGAACCGAATTGTCCCAGAAAGACCTGGAAGGGGATCCTTTCTCAAGGTCAGGGCCCCCTTCTAGTCTTTCTGGTCCTGGAAGGAGCGCTTCTGACTGGTCTGTGCGCTGCTTCCAGGAAGAACATGAGATTGCGCCAATAAGCTCCTATCAACAAATTTTGACTAAAAATATAAAGTATCCTTTTGTGATTTAACGAATAGCTCAATTTTAAAATAGATTTGATTCTAATAATAAATTGAATGAGTTTCGCTTACGTTTAGAATTTAATGATTTATATGATTTTTTCGTTCACAGAAGAGTCATTGATATCCAATATCAAAAAAACAAAAGACACACCATAATAAATGATATTGAAGCTAAATATTACATATTTCAACATATCTAAAAAATTATTATAAGATTAGATCTCATGCAATGCCGAGCAGTTTCCTAAAGCATAATTACTTATTTATACAGAATCAATTATATAATATTCACATTGCAAATTATATACATTCTCACGAAGCAACATGAAATAGACTGTCCGAATTTGAATTCAAATAGAGATCTACTTCAAAAGGATTTCTTACAATATGTAATCTCGATGTTGATCACTGGAATACAAGGGATGCACGTAATTTACAAATTGTTGCAAAAATAGTAGTGCAACAAAAATTTTATTTTTCGTGTAATAAACAGAAATTCATCAAAAGTGACAGCTCTCAATTTTTTGACATTTGTAAATTCTAAATTGAATGAGAAAAATGAAATAATACTAAGCATAATACAATATTCTAGATTTAATTATAATTAGGAAAAAGTTAGTTTTGAGAGTACTTTTCATAGGCATATAGAATGAAATCTTCTGAAAAAGAATATCACATAAACTCATATTATTTTCTAATATATAACTATTTTATATAAAAATCAAATTCAATGATCTTAAAAGCGAAGGATAAACCTCAAAATTTACGAATATAATGAGTGGGAATATTTCATATGGTTTTATGATAGATAAGCATTATATTCCCACTCATTATATTCGTAAATTTTGAGGTTTATCCTTCGCTTTTAAGATCATTGAATTTGATTTTTATATAAAATAGTTATATATTAGAAAATAATATGAGTTTATGTGATATTATTTTTCAGAAGATTTTGTGTTCTTCTTCAAAATTTTATTTTTTTATTAAAAAGAATCTTTACAAAATATACATTTACTTAAATTAATATTTAAAAACGTGCTCTATCAAAAGTTCCAAAAATTCAATATTTTAGCTTTTCTGAGGTGTCACTTTTGATGAATTTCTGTTTACAACATTAGCTTGTCACTTGATATATAACAATTGCAAAAACTCAATCAAAAATAGGATTTGAACGACTTTTTAAAATTGTGAGGAAAATTCTATCGGCACATTCTATTCAATTTTAAAGTATTTCTTTCATATTCCAATCGATTATTCAATATTTGCCAATCACAAATTTTAGTTCAAAATTCAAAAAATCCCTAATTTTAATTTCAGATGAAATCTCGCAAAAATAACATTGTTTTAACCATATAAATATATATTTTATATATTGTATAGTGATTTTTTAATATTTTTATGAGTAAAATCGAGAGTGAGGAAATGTGGACTACAAAAAACGATAGAAATGAATAGTTTACATGGGAATTCAATACTTACAAGTATTCAATGTCACTTTTGTGCTCGAGATTTTGACTCTAGTATATTTTATCAAAATCTTACGCCTACTTTCATGAGTACTTATGATAGCACGCACATGACATACCACTGTGAACTTCATACCGATTTTAAAGGTACGAATATATCAAAAACAAGAAGAGAAAATTTCGAATATTTTTATTCATCAGTTTTTATTGAAAATTCAAACTTCACAAATAACGAAGCTTTCGGAAATGTTCTTGCCGCTGGCTGGGGAGGTGCTTTCTATGTATTCTCCAGCAGAATTAAATCCGATACTTGCATTTACGAGGGCAATATAGCTCTTTGTGGCGGAGCTATCTCATTAATTGAATCAGATGCGTTGCTTCTTACAATTACTTATACTTCAAATCACGCTTTGATTAATGGAGGCGCCTTATACGTAGCAAACAAAAAGGAACCATCTAAAATTTGGAACATTAAAGGCACATTTAATGGAAATATAGCGGACCAAATGGGTGGAGCCATATCTTCTAGTTACGTCACCGACTTTTAAGAAAACTCTGAATTCAAAGGGAACCATGCAGATCATAATGGCGGTTCAATACATTTATCTCATACAGCAGCTTTTATTACATCAACAGAATTCATTGGTAACACGGCAGGTGATTTGGAAGCAAAAAATAAAATGACAGATGGCAAGAAAAAAATTTGGGACATCAAACTAAGTTACAAATTCCAAAACAGAGGCTGCGCAGGAATATTCGCCAAAAACTGCGAGAAACTAATTACTCAATTATGCACGTTTGACGATAACGCTATGAAAAATGGCTTTATGAGAACATTAGATTTATTACCCTCTTTTCAAGGTTCAGGTGTTGATGTTATGCTCGATTCTTGCGATTCTTATTCATCAATTAGAGATTGCTTCAGCCATGCAGGATCAGGCAGTACCATTTTAAGTTATGGACACAATGATACCATTATATCTCAAATTGAAAATACTACTTGTAAAGTCTTATCCGTAAATGAAGGTAAAACCAGGGGCTCTTTTGCAAAAGCTTCAAATATAGCAGAGGGTAACATCACTTCTGATGTACCATCACCAACTCTATATACTTACAGAAGAACCTTAAACATAACGAGAGTAAACTATTCAACATCGGGTAAAATACCATCAAAACTTTTCAATTTTGAGACAGCCACACAAACTACAATGACAGGAAATGCTAAAACCAATGTAATTACACCCAAACCAACATCACAAACTCCAGAACCAACTTTTAACGAGAGTGTGAACTACACATATATATTAACAAACGTTACAAAGTTTATCAACTCCGAAACCACTATTTTAACAAACATTACGACAGTTTCCAAAGCCAGTAATAATGAAAGGACATACGCAATAACAGAATCATACATCATTACGTTCACTTTAGTTCAGACTAATACTCTCATTCAAATTATTGAGATTTATCAAGCCGAAGCACCAGTTTCCAAAGGCCCGTCACTCGGTTTCATCATTGGTATAACTGTTGGCTGCTTACTCATTGTTTTGATCTTATCCATGCTCGGTCTATATCTCTATAGAAAGTCCAAGAATGATACATCATCTCCATCTGACCAAGAAACGGAGGAGATGGAAGAACTCGAGAAGACCAATGCTAACTACAATATATCCACAACAATTGTGGATGCTGATGGAAATGACGGTGTAGAAGCACCTGGCGAAGACGAGAAGTTCTTGAATGCCGACTTCTAACCTTACGGCATTTCATTTTTTTTTTATTAATCTTTTTTATTTCTTTTTCTTTTTAATTCACCACTGTTGAGGCGGGTAATTTTTTAAAAACAATTTTTTATGAATTAGTCATGACAGTTTGTCACTTTTTTCTAAATTATTTTACTAGAAATGGATCATTCCTCTGATCATTCTTCAACATTAACACACTTAATTGTTTCGGAAGCAATCCGCGAGTTAGAGAAATCTCTTGATGCAAACCAGGAGAAAAGTACTCCACTAGAAAATCGTATGTACACCTTAGGAATAAAACCGGGATTTGCAATCGCTGGCATATTATGCAAGAGTGGAACCGATTTTTCCTCGATTGAAGATTGTTCTAAATTCCTCGGAAACAAGTTTTCACCTATCGTTTTAAATCCATGCAGCGGAATCAATCAACAAGCTGACAAACAGTCATTTTCGATTTTATTTAAAGGCCAAAACTTACCAAAATTGTTTACTTGCTTACTCGGACAGCAAAATCAACAACAACAGTTATGGTTTAAGGGTTACACTCAATTCTACAAAGGAGTTTACATGGGAGCTCTCATGCATATGGGATATAGTGCAAAAGCAACTGTTGAAATGAATCCAAGCCAACTTAACCTCAAATTCGAAGATATTAAAGAACTTGATAGAGATTCACCATGGGAAAACGCATTTTCTACAATCTAACTTGCTGAATTTTATATATTACGTTCAATAAAAATTATCGTTTTGTTTTCTTCTTTCCAGCTAAAATCATATTTATTGTCATTTCTAAAAATGAAAGGAAATTGAATTTTTAAACATGTTTTCTTATTTATTCTTTTTTATTAACATTTATAGAGTGACCTGCAGAAAGAGATACACGTGAGAAACATTCAACCAAGCCAACTCAGAATGTTAGTATTTTCAGTATCAATAACATTAGATTTAAAAGATTTGAATAACATTTAAATCAGAGGTGATTAGTTCGGAGGTTTGTTGAATGAGATAAATGTAGCTATGTAACGATCCTCAGTAACAGTATTTAGGTCAAAGATCGAATGCAATAGCGGGAAAATCGTAATTTTATTAGTTTTTTTTGGATGTAAAGTTTATCACAAACCTTATGTACTCATATTTTGATGCATTTAAGCAATTTTTACCATATTATTTTGGATGAATGGATATTTGATCGAAAATGTGATATTTCTTTATTGAAACTATTCGCAGCCTAAAATATTATTTGGTTTTTCTCAATCATTATAGACAGAAATAAAAACGATGATATGAAATTTCACATATCTGCGTTAAGCTCATTAATCCCAACGAATTATATTATTCATGTAATGGAACGAGTAAATACGCCTAAATTATAGCTTTATTACGATTTGAATTCATTTCGAATTATGAACTATTTTGATTTCGGAGCATGTTTATTGCAGATTGCATATAAATTCCATTCTTCTTTATGTGGACAATTGTGTTTATCAAACAACGCACTCTTTTTCAATCAATAAAAATATGAATGAAATATGTCATCTAAATTGAATTAAATCCGAGCATGAGTAAGCATTTTGTACAGATTAGAGCCCATAGAACTCAATGCATGCATTAATTTTGTTGAACCATAAAATAGTTGTTCGGCTAATTGTAAAAATCTTCGTTTAGAAATCTTCAATCATTAGCAATTATTAAAATGCTTATTCGCTCTTCCGATCAGAGTTTACAAATTTTTTTTCGGGAGATTTTTTGATAGGATGGATAAAATTATTATGGGCAAAATATTTAGTCCTATATGACACGTAACAAGTCATATATGAATGACAATTTGCAGAAAAATTTATTGGATAAAAATTTTGAATGTAAAAAAATCAAGCAAAGATGGGAAAATAGGATAATCGCATGTTATATGAACACCTGATCATATATATTAAGGGTTTCGTTTTGCTAAAATTGTCACTTTTATAGCATATTTGTTTTTGGATGTTTTGCGAAACCAAAAAAAAACTATGATATACAATGTGTGTGTAAAGAAAATACTTTATTTACTAGTTAAAAAATCATTTGGTATTGATCAAGTAGTAGTAGGATATGAAGGGTTGTGTGACTTTTTTTGTTACATCTATATATAGACGATGCATTAAAATATATATATTTATAAACCATTAAAAAATTAACATTAATTTTAAAATAATTTATTTTTTATCTTTTATAAAAGAAGCTATATATAGATGATGTCAGATATTCCGCGATTAATTAAACATTGTTTAAATCCTGAATGGGTTAAACTTCAATTTAAAAATGAAGATTGTGAATTATTAAATGAATATGAAAGCCAAAATAAGCTAATGAGGTATAAATATAATGATAAAGAATATTTAATTTCATGGAATCAATGGAGTCATAATCAAAGACCTCATAAACGAGAAGAAGAAATTGAAAATAATGAAATGGAAATCATTGATGACATTAAAGAGGATGGAATTCCTAAATTTTGTAGAAAAACCTTTAGAACTAAGTTAGGAGCATATAAACGTAGAGTATTAAATCCTGAATATCTTAAACATATATTTAAAAAGGAAGACTGTGAATTATTAAACGCTAATGAATATGAAAATGCTAAATCAAAACTGAGATATAAATATATTGGAAGTGATGAAAGGTGTAAAGATAAAGATAAAGTTTATTCAGTTTCATATAATAACTGGCACACGTTAGGGATAAGAAAACATTTAGGAGATTATGGGAAATGTTCTGAATTCTTCAAATCTAGTATGTACGAGAGAGTAAAAGAAATTAGAAATAATTATTTTCATGAATAAAAGATTCACTACCATAATGAAAAATAAAAAAATTTTTTAAAAAATAAACTTTAAAAATTATGTCTTACATTTTTGAATAATTTATTTTTATTTTGTATGAAATGAGCGTCAAAACTAACAACGTTAAAAAATTAGGATTCACAAACGAGGAAATAAAGGATATATTAGATGAGATGTGTTATGAAGTTAGTAAATATTATTTAAGAAATTGTCAAAAATTTGCCGAGTTATTAAATGATTTAGATTATGATGGAAAAATGAATAAAGATGATGTTATAAATTTCTTATATCCCACATCTGAAGAAGAAAAACCTAAAGAACCTGATGTTTTCCCTGAATATTATGAAGAACGGATTAAAGATGATGATGATGAATACGATGAAATTGAAATTGAAAAACTGGAAAAAATAAGAGATGAAATAGATGAAAAAATTAAGGAATTAAGAGAAGTTGAAAAATATAATGAAAATGAAGTAGAGGGTTTAATGAATATCCCAGCTTCAGAATCAGCAGTTCAGAAATCTCATGAAGAAAGATATAAAAATTATGTCTCAGAATCAACACAAAATTTATTGGATGGCGAAATAGATGAAACACTTTCAGAAGAAGGTACTAAATTTATACGTAAACATAAGTTACAATTTATGATAATGAAGAATACCCTTGTATCCTACTTTCACCACCTTTAGATTCTGAGAAATTCAAAAAAGCTCTTAAAAACGTGACATATGCAACTAATACGATTAAGAAAGAAGATCATGATATTTACACAAATTATTATTTAAATAAATGCACAGTGTGATAAAGTTTTTGATTATTAGATAAAATATCAAAAGAAACCCATAAAATTTGTGATTGTGTTTCATTATTGAAGATACCAATAATGTTTCATATGAAAGAACAGCACCGAAGGAAGACGAAGTGGAAAGGTCTATACCATTCGTTATTAAGAATATAAAAGATATGAAAACGTATAAGCATTATATTTATTCATTTATTTCAGAAAAAATGGAAGCAACCCATAAAACATCTTCTCATTTTATAGCTATTCATACATTCCTTTTCAAAGTTGTGAAATTAAATAAGACAGGAATTAGATTTAATGTATCAGGGTACGCATTCTTGAGTAAATTAAAATGTATTCGTCACGTCGCAGATGATAAAAATTTATGTTTCTTAATTCATTTTATGGGCTTTAAAAAATAAACTTTATTTTTATTTATTTTTTAATTTTTATTCTTACATAAATGAACAAAAACGGAACCGCTAAAATGAATGATAATCAAATTAGAGCAGAAGGTAGAAGGTTATTTAAACGCTTCTATAACATTCCTGATGGTGTTAATCCTAAAACTCGTAGAAGTTATTTAAATGAAGCAATAGATTCATATGAAGGTTTGACATTTCATCAGAAAGTGAGAGATTAGCGAGAATGTTAAATGTTAATATTGATTTCTATTATTGTGATCCTCAACCAGAAGACGTGGACATAAATAAGGTAGACTTTCCATTAGTGGAATCAATAATGATAGATCCAGAATTTGAAACAGTAAATATTTTATTAACACAGAGTCCATGTGGAAAACTTCACGCTGACAGAATAACAGACGTTGAAGCACTCACCGGCTATAGAGTTTGTCCATATTGTAAAGAAGAAGTTTATTCTATCCGTGATGATCCAGAAAGGAAAAACCAAAGAAGATTTTTAAAGCATTGTGAGAAATGTAAAGAAAATAATGGAAGATTAATTCAAGACGTTCAGTTGCAAAAGACACAGCAACCATATGCACCACATATTACGAAACAGAAGATATATCAGTGGTTATTAGCTCACAATTTGCAGGAATATTATCAACCGACAAGATATTATATTACTTTTGACTTCGAAACATTAGAGACTAAAGAAGAATTACAACTTTCTGAGTGTGCAACTTTGAACGCTTACTTAAAACCATTCATGTATCATCAACGGTTAAATTAAATGATAAAACATATACGAGGAATTTTTGCTTAACTTCGAGTGATTCTTTTATTTCTGATTGGATTGAGTTTTTATTTTCAACCTTTCATTAGTTGCTAAATCAAATATTGAACAATATGAAGAATTAATGAAGTCGCAAACGGACTCTTTGAGTCCTGAAGGTCTTTCAGACCAAACGGCGGGGACTTTGTCTCATACATTAAATGAAAAACAGAAGGAAGCATTTAAAGAACTTCTAGATGAGGAATTCAATAAAGTGAATATCATAGGTTTTAATTCGGGAAAGTTTGATTTAAATTTAATTCTTCGTGATTTAAACACTGCAAAATGGAAAATAAAATCAATGCTGGGTTCATCTTCACAATTTAAGCAAATCATTGTAAAGAAAACAAACACTCCATATGAATTGAGATTTATTGACATCAGAAATTATATAGCGGGTGGGACATTAGACCAATTCACTCAAGATTTCGGAAACAATAAATCACGTGTTAAATCCTTTTTCCCTTATCAATTTATCACATGGGAGAATTATGAAGAAGAATTATATAAAGAGGAACCATTCACTCAAGATTCATTTTATTCAGCATTAACCCAAGAAACTATATCAGATAGTGATTATCAAATATATCTCAATGATGCTAAAAATTTTAAGAATAGATTAGAATATTTTATTCATTATTGCAATAAAGATGTTGAAATTATGATTGACCCAATTGATAAAATTATTGAAGAAACATTTGTTTATAAAATTGACATGCTTCATAATCTTTTTTATCATCGAATGCTTCAATGATTCGTTACGCTTTAGCATATAAAGACTTTAATCCTAATGAAAAATATCCTGAGGAAGAGATAGAATCAAGTTTTGAATTAACGAAAAAGTATTGAAATATAAAATTGAATCATATAAGAAACAAGATGAAAAAGCAGAAAGGGATACTAAAAATAATGTTTCAATGGATGATTTTCAATACTATCACGATTTAATCCTTTCATCTAAATGCAAAATGTGTGGTAAAGCGTTTACATATGCAAATAAACCAACATTGGATAGAATCGATAATGAAAAACCACATACCAAAGAAAATTGTCAGTTAATGTGTTGTTATTGCAATGTCCTAAAATCAAATAAAGATGAAGATGTTCAACGTTTAAGAATCAATTTAAGAAATTATGCATTAAAAAATAATTTACCAATGACTTTAGATTCGGTTGAAGCTTATCACATTCTCCGTAATGGAATTACTGGTGGTTTATCAAATGTTCAACATCGTGTTAATCTTAAAGGAATCACGCACATTAATAAACTTTCATATAATCCAGAAACTAAAACTGTATCAAATGAGGACACCACCAACATTATGACTCATTTCGTTGGAGTTGACTTTAATTCATTATATCCTTCATCATTTTCATCTAATCCTCATGATTTCATTCAATATACTGACCATAAAATGTATATGCCGGGAAGATTGAATGGTGTTATCATTTGTGATACAGCAACAAAGAAAGCAAAAGCATTGGGAATAATTAAGAAGAAAAATACTTTATTCGTGGCTGAAGTAAAAGGTCACATTGATGAAAAATACATTAATGATTACATAAACTTTTTACCGATAATAAGAAACTTAGATATTATCACAGATGAAAAAACAATTGGCAGTTTTATGTATAATTACATGAAATCAAACAATCTACCAGTTGACCAGAAACAGAGAAAATTAACTCAGTTAGCATCAACACACAACCAATATCAACCATTTTCTTCTTATTATCTTTGGTATCTAATAGACAGGTTTCATTTTATCATCGATGATATTCAATCAATTTTAACATTTACTAAAAACACTTGCTTTAATGAATTTGCGAACAAATTTATGAACGAAAGACAAAAGGCTGAATTAGAAGGAAATAAAGGAAAAAGTTTATTTTGCAAAATTTCACTTAATGGATCATATGGTTACGATGCAATGAATACACAAAATTACGCAAAGACTAAAATAATGAATGCACAGAAGGCACGCGTTGCATGTATGTCAAATAAGTTTAAAAACATAAGAGAAATAGGTGAAGATACATATCAAGTGATGCTTAAAGATAGATTTTATAGATGTGATACATGTTTACAAGAGGCATTCTTCACTTTAGATAATGCTAAATACTGGTATTTGGTTTTCATTTATGATTTTATGTATAAATGCATGGATGTTAATCGTTTTCATTTCATTGAAGGTGATACCGATTCATCTTATTGGGCAATCGCTGGCGACCCAAATCTTCCTAACACTCAAGCATTTCAGGTGATTGTTACCGATAAACAATTTTATGATAAAAACATTTTCAAATTCGCACCATTTGATTTCTTCTGTTTTGATGAGAAATTTAAACCTAAATTAAAGAATAAAGCTGAAGAAAAAGCACATGAGAAAAAATTATTGGGTTTAGCAATTGAGAAACAAGGTGATAACATGGTTGCTTTATGTCCTAAGTGTTATACATCATTCAACGGTTCAATTGATGGAAGTGATTTTAAAAAGATTGCACAAAAAATGAAGGGTGTTAGTTTAAGACAAAATAAGCAATTAACACCTAAAAAATATTTGGATATAATAAATGATAAAGTGATATTTGATGGTCAGAATATTAATTTACAACTTAAAAATGGGTCAATGACTCGCTTAACAATCGGTAAGACTGCATTAACAGGAGCACACACTAAGGCTGTATGTTGTGAAAATGGATGTTGTATGCCATTTATTTAATACAATTTAAAATTTTATTTTTAATGAAATGCCACAGAAGAGACAAAAGGAACCGTTAATGATGGTTTTGATACTATGATTCAAAGAGGTGGGCACCCTTAAACATTTATTTTATTTTTATATAAATGGATAACACAGATTTAAAAATTTTAATTGATGATTTAGTACTTAATCAAAATTTTCTTAGTTATTATGAATTAAAATCATATCTCCAAAAACATAATAAAAATATAACGGGTGATGATATGGATTATTATTATCCATATTATAAAAATGAAATTTTGAAATATCATGATAAAATAATTTCTAAAATTAAAGACAAAATTAAAAATAATGAATATACAAAGGAAAAAACTAAATCACAACTTAAACAATTGAAAGATTTCAAAAATAAAGTATTAACAGAAGAAGATATTGATGAATTATATAATTTATATAATCCTGAGCCACAAAAACCAAAGGTGCAAAACGCCCTAACCCTTCAGACCATAAATGAAGCACAAGCTTTAATTTATGATTCATTAGTTAAACTATATTCAGCCCGACTTTTAAATGAAGATCAACTTTTGGAATTCATCCTTCAACATAAACTCGAAGCGGGAAAGTATATCAAACCTTTATATACAGCATATTTAAAACAAATGAATAGAATACATCCAGAATTAATGAAGGAAGGAATGAAATCCAAAATCAAAGCAGATAAAATTAAACCACTTGCAACAACAGTACCTCCAACGACAGTACCTCCAACGACAGTACCGCCTCCTCCTTCAGTTAATCCTTCATCATTCACTTTATTATATCCATTTCAAACATTAAAGAAGCAAAAAGATTTTAAAAAGGATTTCAAAATATTAAATAAACCAATTGACCCAAAAATTCAACCATTAAAGGAAAAATTTAGTCGCCCTTCATTTGCACCATATCCATATTCATACGAAATCGATCATCTGGAATATTCAAAAGGAAACGTTACTTATTTATTTGCCATTAACATTAACACTAGATATTTATATTGCATTCCGGTGAAAGGGAAAACAGAACAGGAAACAAGAAGAGCTATACAATACTTACTAGATCATGAAAGAGTAGATAATATCAGGGGTGATGGTGATAAAGGATTTCAGGCAGCTATGGCTCATTATTTCCCACAAATTAATTTTTTCTTTTCATCCTCTCCATATACGTTTCATAATAAAATAGTTGATTCGGTAATGAGAACTCTTAGAGATGCGTTAGGGGTTAACGGTCAGATATACTGGGATGGAAAATCATGACTCCATCATACACAGTTAGTATATATATTACAATAATACATGGCATAGAACAATAAACATGAAACCAGTGGAAATGAAAAATGATATTTCAAAGAATGGGAATATATTAGAAAGCAAATGGAAAAGGTTGAATGATGTTAAACATGAACAAATTAATTCGGGGCTCATGAATTTTAAACAAGGGGATAAAGTTTTGATTCATCTCGATTATGGAAAAACTGATAAATCAATGACAAAAAGAAGACGAAGATTTGACACAATAGCTGAATTTGTTAGATATATTAACGGTAATGTATTAGTTGAAGTTGACAATAAATTAATAGAAATTCCGATTTATTTTATTACTCCATTATATTTAAATAATATTTAATTTTTTTATTCGTAAGAAATGAGTGACAACAAAGCAGTCAAGAGTCCTGATTTAATTAAGATTCAGAGTCCAGACGATGAATATAAAAAGAAACTAAACAGAATTAATCAAAAATATGCTATTACAAAAAGAAGCCGCAATGCGGTGGGGCTGATGCCCATAAAACTAATGGAACTGAAAACGATGAAGAGAGGAAAGAAATAATCGAAAAATTAGAAACTTACCGTTCAATCCTTAAACTGAGTGAAGCAAAAATAAAAGAATTTAATAGAATAAATAAATTGATTGGAAGAGATGAATTTAATAAAGATGAATTTTTAAACTCTATCCAAATTTAATTTTTATTTTTCTTTGACAACGTCTCGAATAACTGAAGGTGTTACCATGTTACCATGTGCTACCAGGTTAATTAACTTCTCTGAAAAAATGAGACAACATGACATTTAGACAACACAACAGGAGGAAGGCACTTATGAATTATTTTTGAATAACTGAAGGTGCTACCATATTACCATGTGCTACCAGGTTAATTAACTTCTCTGAAAAAATGAGACAACATGACATTTAGACAACACAACAGGAGGAAGGCACTTATGAATTATTTTTGAATAACTGAAGGTGTTACCATGTTACCATGTGCTACCAGGTTAATTAACTTCTCTGAAAAAATGAGACAACATGACATTTAGACAACACAACAGGAGGAAGGCAAAAATAAATTCAAATCATACTTTATAAAGCTTCATTTACAGGTATTTCATCGTCAGTAAATGAATCATCATTATCATTTGGTTCAACCTGTTTATATAATCCTTTCATTTCTTCTTTCAAAACATAACACCATGTTTGTTTATCGTCTATTCTTCTATGTTTCCTATCACATTTATCCTTAATGCTCATTTGAAAATTCTTGTCTTTCATGTCTGATGGTTTGCAGAATAGAGCATTTTTACACGTCATACCTGCACACAATTCATCATAATGTGTATTTATCCATACATCTAAAGGATTTGTTGATAATTCAATTAAATCTTGTTTGGCTTCAGTCATCGTATGATTCGTACATTAAATGCATGAAAGGTCATATTGCATAAAATATGTTAGTAAATTATCATAAAATTCCTTTGTGCATGAATCCATTAAATTCTTGAAGTAATCAAATTGACCTTTGAATTTACCATTTACTCTTAACACAACGTATCTTCTGTCTCCAACTTCAATTTTGACAGGGTAAACGTTATTAGTTACCAAAATGAAATTGGCAACATTCTGAGCAGTTCTTCTGGGTTGATTCTTTTCATTAATTCTAATCTCATTATCCGTTATAATTGATTTCAAAGCGTTGAAGTTTGCGAGTCTGTCTTCACCTACATTCTTGAGTTCATTAAGTACAAGAAACATTTTATTCTCAACTACTGAATTGAAATTACCCGTTAGCTCACCTATTTCAGTAATGTTTTTTACATGAATAACCAGCGAGAAGTTCAGAAATAATGTCTGTAAATCTGTTTTTAACCTGTTCCCTGAGTCCTTTCAAAATAATTGCTGTTTCATTCTTGATTCCAGGATGTTGAATCATATGATGCAATCCAGCCGAGCGAAGTAATTATATACACTTCATCATTATTATCACATATGGCTTCTTTTAATAAAATCCATAAACATCTCAATTTTTGAGTAATCAGGCTTTTTCGAGAACGTTGTATTTATAACCTTGAAACGTTGAGAAAACATCTGGGGAATCAGATTTGAAGCAAACAACACCTTAACGGTTAATGAAGACAATTGAATTAGTCGTACGTCCCATGCTGTTATGGTTTTTACCTTCTTCTTTAAATAATTTAATCATTTTAAGTGACTCTTCATGTTTGATTGAAGAACGAATGATATTTGATTCATTTTTCATGAATATTATAGTCCTTTTGAATGAAATATTTGTTTCCACAATCTACAAAAACGATTACACGTGATAAATCCTCAATTTACTTCAGAACTGTTTTTATACTGATGATTTTCAGCCCTGCGTCTAATATCTGTTATCAAAAACGAGTCATCAAGTTTGATATCAAATGTTATTTTTGGCTTACGTAATAAAGGTAAAACGTATTCATCATAATATTCCTTTTGTATTAGTTTAGAATCTTCACTAAACAAATGGAGAAGTCATTAAATGTGCATATCTACTACGTGCTTTTTTCAAAATTACTTTTTGCATTTTCAGTTAAAATTGCAGAAGTTAATAAACGTATCGTAGGCTTCATTAATTAAATGATTAGGTAACAAATTAATTGCTTGAAAACAGTGTGAATAATGTAACTTCTTTTTCTAATTCATGTTTCCACCGTCATTATGTACTTCAAAATCACTGATGCCATCAACTATGCTCTGGGCAAGTTTATCGTCAATGTTTACATCTTTGTTTTCATTCATTATACTCTTTATTTCTTCGTTCTTCTGTTCAATTCTTACCTTAATATTCAAATCATTTAATATATCATTCACTGTTCTAGTTAATGTTGAATCATAACTTCCACGAATGAATGAGTATGTATTGATTGGTTCTGTTGCATTCCTGCGAACTCTTGAATCAGCCATAACTACTAAAGAACGCTTTGATTCATCCATTGAAGTCATTATGTCGATATCATAATCATTGCAGGAATAACATTTAATCATTCTGTTCGAAACTGAATAGAAGAAATTAGTGTTGCAATAAATGTGAAGACCTCCTGAAGCGGTTTTAACGATAACATCTTTATCCGAAAGTTTTGATAGAATGTCTTTTCTAACTGTTTCTTTAAGTTCATCATTGTACGATTTATTGATATCAACATCTATAATAGTTAAATTTGGAATTTTATTTACTAATAAAGCCACACCAGTTTTCCTTCCTCTTCCTCCATCATGTTTGAGGTAGTTATGTAAATCAATCTTGTTTTCACCGATTCTTTCGTTGAGGGTTTTAGTTTCTGCCACAACTAATTCCTCAGCTAATGAATCAATAACTTTTTCATCAGAAACGATATAGTTGTTGTTGTTGTTTGTTGCTGTCATTTATATAGGAATAAAAAAATAAAAATAATTTTAAAACTAACTTTATTTTTGGACTGCATCAAATTTCCAGGACTGTTGTCTAAATGTCATGTTGTCTCATTTTTTCAGAGAAGTTAAATAACCTGGTAGCACATGGTAACATGGTAACACCATCAGTTCTTCAAAAATAATTAATTATTGAATAACCTGAAAACATTAACGATAAAATATATTTTTGGTCGTTTATGACAAAAATAAATGGTTCATTTACTCACAATATTTTTTTTACAAAACGACCCCAAACTTTTAACTTCTTTTCT